TAACTACTTTATAATCAAGATGATCAAGCTACAAATAAATTTGGAAGCATAGTGTAGAGGTTTTATTGATGACCTTATTCTTGAAATACAACTAAACAAATAACTGAAACCAAGAAACTCAGTATGCATGGTGGGAAGTGTCTGTTTTTAGATTTATACCCTGCCTTGTTTCCCACAGATTTTTGAGGGAGTTTGCATCAATACTTATAATACAAAACTAACTTAATATTAGGTTGATTAAATTAAGTGAAATTGCTGATACTTGCCTTTCACTTACAAGAATAGCAATAGCATTTGGTTCAATATAATAGTTAAAAGAATCAATCCTAAAGCAACATCTAGTAAAATCAGAGTTCATATTATCACACAAGAATGTACACAGTATCAGATGGAAGTGGGGAGGCAGCAGGCAGGGTCTGCAGAGTTCATATTATCACACAAGAATGTACACAGTATCAGATGGAAGTGCGGAGGCAGTGGCTGCCGGGCTGCCGAGCCCTGTTATTGCAGTGGCTGCTAGGCTGCTGGGCTGCAAACCATGGGGGTCCTGTGAAGGATGGGGCAGCCCACCGATGTTGATGGCTGCTGACTGATCAGGGTGGAGGTTGCTGGAGGTTGGAGTGGCTGCAGCAATTTCTTAAAATGAAACAACAATGGAGTTGGCCATATCAATTGATTCTTCCTTTCTTGACCGACTTCTCTGTAGCATGCAGTGCTGTTTGATAGCATTTTATCCACAGTAGAACTTCTTTCGGAATTGGAGTCAATCCTCAAACCCAGCCACTGCTTTATCAACTAAGTTTATGTAATATTCTAAATCCTTTGTTGTCGCCCTGGCCAGTGTGGCTTAGTTGGTTGGGCACTGAAAGGTGGTCAGATCCATTCCCAGTCAGGGCACATACCCAGGTCAAGGGCTGACCCCCGGTAGGGGACATGCAGGAGGCAGCCAGTGGCTGTTTCCCTCTCAAATTGATGTTTCTCCCTCCTCCTCCTTTCCTCTCTCTCTCCAAAAAAAAAAAAAAAAGTTAATTTAAAAAAATCTTTGAAGAAAAAAAGTAATAAATTTTTGTTTGTCATTTCAACAATCTCCACAGGATCTTTAGGAGTAGATTCCAGCTCAAGAAACCACTTTCTTTACTCATCCGTAAGAAGCAGCTCCTCATTTGTTAAAGTTTTATCATGAGATTGCAGCAATTCAGTCAGATCTTCAGGCTCCACTTTCAATTCTAGTTTTCTTGCTGTTTCTACCACATCTGCATTTACTTCCTCCACTGAAGTCTTGAATTCCTCGAAGTCATCCATGAGGTTCAGAGTCAACTTCTTCAAAAACTCCTGTTAATATTGATATTTTGACTTCCTGTGAATCATGAATGTTCTTAATGTATCTGGAATGGTGAATCCTTTTCAGAATGTTTTCAATTTACTTTGCCCAGATCCATCAGAGGAATCACTATCTGTGGCACCCATAGCCTTATAAAATCTATTTCTTAAATAATAAGACTTAAAAGTCAAAATTCCTCCTTGATCCATGGGCTGTAGAGTGAATGTTGTGTTAACAGGCATGAAAACAACATTAATCTCGTACATCTCCATCAGAGCTCTTGGGTGACCAGGTGTAGTGTCAATGAGAAGTAATAATTTGAAAGGAATATTTTTTTCTGAACACAAGCAGAGTAGGTTTAGCATAATTCTTAAAGGCCCTAGGATTTTGGGAATGGTAAATGATCATTGGCTTCAACTTAAAGTCACCAGGTGCGTTAGCCCCTAACAAGAGAGTCGGCCTGTCCTGTGAAGCTTTGAAGCCTGACATTGACTTCTCTCTAGCTATGAAAGTCCTTCCTATATGGCATCTTCTCACAATATAAGGCAGTTTTATCCCGGCCGGTGTGGCTCAGTTGGTTGGGTGTCGTCCTATGCCCTGAAAGGTATGTGTCTTTCAAGACACAGAGTTAGTAGCTTTTGTCAGATTCCTAATCCTACCATTGACCCCAAAGAGATGTCAAACAAAACCAACAAAACAAAGAGAACACTCCCTAGAGCAACGGTCCTTACCCTGGGTTGTGCATCAAACCTGTTCAGATTTGTTGAACCTACACATTCCTTGACCCTACCAGGAGAAAGTTTCAGGAAAAGATGTTTAAACTGAGTGCTTCTTACTGGAGGGTGGAGTTCGCCCAGCTTGGTTGTACTGCTGAGAGATGGTGTCTGTTTGTTGTAATTACCAGACATACACAGGAGATGTCCGTAGTTCAGAAGCACTTTTGTCCTGAATGATTAGGAGTTCCATTTCAGGTAAGTCAGCTCCTTTCTGACTCAGCCCTGTTTCATTGGAACAGAGGATCTACCACAGTGATTCTCAAACTGAGGATATCAGTATCCTGAGATACTTCTTAAAAATGTAGGTTCTGGGATTTCACTCTCCGATTTTGATTCCTTAGATCTGGGAAGCAGTTCTGCATTTTTAATAGGCATCCTCTGTTATCCTGATGCAGATGATCAGTGGACCATATTTTGAGATCCGTAAATCTAAGTTTGCTACCAATAATGTCCCTGAAAGTTTTTGGGGGGACAGTTGGGTTGAGAAGTTCAATTATCTGCTTTTTGTTACTGTTTAAATATAATCAGTTCCTGAAGTACAGTAATAAGGATATGCAGTACAGCTTTGAGATCTAGACACCCAAGGCTTTGTGCTTTAGAGGGCCCAGCTCTGGTTTTCCTCCAGCCAAATCCCACTTCCCAGGGAGAGAAGTCCCGGAGGACATCCCGCCCTGGAGTCCAGCCCCTCCCAGATCACCCTCTGCGTACTCAGCACCCTGGAATTCCGTTCCCGAAGTCCATTTTCCTCCTCGGTCCAGGGGATAACTAAGTAATAGCTTCGGTTTTACCAAATAGTCTCTTACCTTCAACTTTTCCTTTTGTCCACCAAAAAAATTCCTCTTTGCCTTTGCTATTCTAGATTAGCAGTTCTCAAATAAAGAAGCATTAATTGCATCTCCTTTGACATTGAGGAAGTGACCCCTCAACTTATAGTTATTTTTATATAATATTTGAGGCTGCTTATTAACATCTGATTTGAGGCTGCAGTGTTTTAAAAATTGCAATAAATTTTGTGAGAGCAGAGGAAAGCTACAACTTTCCAAACAACTGGGAAGTTGTGGTTCCTCTGCTGTGCTCCTCCTTCCTAACAGCCAGGAAGAAGGAAGACACATGTTCCCTAGCATTTCTTCAAAAGGGTCTGGGGAAAAGAGAAAGGAAGAGATTAACTGACATAATTTAACACTTGGAGCTATAAATCATGTGTTGCAATATGGTGATAGGATGTTGCATCAGAATGTGGCAGTTGTAATGCAGTGTGTATCACAACCGTGGGGAGGCTTTGTGGTACTCTGTGCCTTTTCCCTGTAGATTCAGCTCCAAGTTTGTATCCTTTCTGCCCTGCCAAGGAGAAAGGTGTTATTTTAGTTACATTGTACCTCACTACAATGTTGTTCTCCTGGCCTAGGGCACAGGGATTTCTTTATGGGTGCAAGTTCTCCTGAGGCAGACATCATTGTACCAAGTCCCAGTACCCCTCTGAGTCCTGTTGTCACATACTAGCGGGGAAGTGTTAGGTTTCTTCACATCTTCCTGGAAGTCTGTAGGGAAACCCGGGAGGTGTTATGGCAAAGCTGTAATGTCTTTACTCTCAGAACCGTTAGTTTTGAAAGTGTATGTAATATTTCCTGAATATTTCGCATTGCCTTTATCTCAAGATTTGAAAGATAGTAAGTGGCCAGGAATTTGTCCCTGAGAAACAAAATTGAAGATTTATAGTAGTGATAAGGGTAGGAGAATGGAGTCTATTTCAGCAATATTCTTGATAAAGCAGGTTTTGGTAGTTAATTATTTATTATTGTTTTGCATTTTTAATGTAACGATATCAAAATTAAATTTTATATTTGAAGCATAAACTCTTGAGCACAGGGCAAATGTCTTAATTACATGGCAGTGTAAGTAGTAGTATCCATGGTGGTGGGTTTGGGAATTTAAAGGAACTTAGGCAGAGAAGTGACAGATGATGAAAAGAAATAACCTTGAATTCTGATAAAACTGGTTTTGGAGAATGTGGTTTAGATAAGTGACAGTGGGTTTTTCAGTACTGAACTTTAGAATTAGTGAGACTTGCCCACCCAGTAGCATTTGATCTCCACAACCCTTCCCCCTTGAGGGTCACACCCTATAAAACTCCAGGGATAGAGAAACAGAGCCTGGCTCCCAAAGATTTTGGAAAGAGGGAAAAATAGCTGAGCAATACGTGCAGTTCCTCTTCCCTACTCAGTGGTGAGAGAAGTCACTCCTCCCCAGGAAAGGAGTAGGGGAGAGAAGGCAGAACTGTTAGACATTACTGCCATTCCCCACACAGGGGGAAACTGCCTTAGTGGGAGGAAGCATTCCTGCCTTACAGAGTGATAGTGGTGGTGGCTCTTAGGCTATTGTAACAGGACATTAAAACCAATTTTAATGATTTGTAAAGGAGACGTGCTCTTAAGACAGTGTGTGCTATGGCCTGGAGTGTGGTCTTTAAGTGCATGTCTTCTAGGGATGCACACTGAAATGTTGACAGGTGAGCTGATAGGATGTCTGCGATCTACCTCAGAATAACCCAGGGACTGGAGAGGTATGTAATGAGGTTAGCCATTGCTGTGTTAGTTGTTGAAATTAGGTGAGTTGTGTGCCCTTAGCAACTTGCTCTACTTAAGTCTCTATTTCCTAATCTCTGAAGTGAGGATAACAAAATCTACCATATAGTACTGTTACGATGATTTCAATGAAAATAACAAGGTATGTGCCTGTTACGTAACACACAGGTGCGACTCGAAAATTGGTAGTTACTGTTATACCTATAAATGGGAAAAGATCAAGGTTTCCCCTTCCTTAAACATGAAATGTTTGCTTTCTTGGTGGGGGCGTGTATGTATTTCCCCCAGTTGAGTGTGTTAACTTGGATTTTGTTTTGACAGCTCAGATGCCTAAAAGGCCAGAGGGGCTTCTCGGGCCAACCCCCTTTTGATGGAATCCACATTGTCAACCATTTAATAGGAGATGACGAATCAGTCCATTCCTCAGATGAAGATCTCATAGAGAATTCCTTACGGGAGAGTGGCATTGGTTTTCCTTTGCACAGAAAGTCTGGCGCAATGTCTTTGGACCCTGCTGTGACAGATGGTAGTGAAAGCGAAACAGAAGACAGTGTGGTGGAGACCAGAAAGAGCAGTCAGGTGGCTCAAAATGAACAGCCCCCAAGGAAAAGAGAATCGTACTCGACCACTGTCTGACCATCACTGTGAACCTAGACTGTGGATATTTTTTAAGGGATCAGTTATATGATTAAGGGTTTGGGGACAGATCTGTTTCATATGTACATATATGTATTTTTCAATCTTATCTGCCTTTTTGTCTTTGCCAAACCTTCACCACTGACTGACCATTGCCATAAAGTAGACTGAAATATGGTTAATGTGAAAAATAAGGATTCTAGCAGTATTACTGAATATTAATGTTTCATGTAGAAAATGCAATTATATCTATATGTGAGAACCATTTTGAAGTTCTGAACTATGGAAAATTTAATTTTCTTCAAACAAAACTGTTCTTGTGCAATATTTTATGCTCAGTTAACATATTGTATATTTTATCAATTTGCTTTCAGGGCAGCTGTCTACAAACATTTGACCAAGACATACATCTGATTTATTTTGTGCTTTTGTGTTTGAGGGACTTTTTATTTTTCTCAGTTGAAATTACTGCTTTATTAGTGGGCCACTGAAAGTTCCCAAACACAGTGTCTTTTTTCCATATATATATTTTAAATACAAATTAATGATTTTCTGTCTTGAGAGTTTTAAGTTTTGTTTGAATATCTAATTTTTATGTGCATATGATACTTCCATATATTGTTTGTCAGAGCAGTAAGTTAACTACAAATATATTGGGTTTTTGTACATAATTTATAAATCTGCATCACCCAACATTGAACATCATTTTATATGGAGAATGTACATGTTGCAAAATGACTGCCTTTTGCATTCTAACAGGACTTCTGTAAATACAGAGTTAAAAGGAAATTGAAAATAAAACCAAACACTAATATTTTAATAGCTTTAGTATTTTGCTTAGCATTCAACAGCAGCAGATTCATAACTGGTTGCTTGTTCAAAAACACTATTGGTGAAGTCTTTTAACTTCATATGTATGAAACTAATAAATTGTCCATGATTAAAGAGGTTAGAGCACACATTACTTAGTGCTAATATTCTGCTTAATATAAATTAAGCAATGGACTAAAGTCCAAGATACACAACAATAATATCTGCAAATAATCTATGAGTATTATCTTCAGATTCTCTAATTACTAATCTATAGATAAAGCCATAAGAGTTCTTTCCTACCAATTCTTCCTATTTTTTTAAATCATCTAGACTTTTTTTTCCTAGGAAAATTACACTTACACTATGGAAAAGACAACAAGAATGTGTTAACTGGATGCTGTCCACTCTTATTTTCAGCAGCAGCCTATGAAAAATAGCCTTGGAGGGTAAAAGGGGTAGGTAGAATTCAGTATATATGGAGATATAATTTTGCACAATATGTTACAAGCAGAAAATATATATATTACAGAATGGCATATAAGAGGCAAAATTAGTTTTCTGTCTAAAGCCAGGAGTTAAGCCTTATGCATCTCCATGGACTAGGTTCCTCCAGCAAGCCTTTTGTAGCTATTCGCTTGGGAAAGGAGATTGAAAAGATGCATCTGTGTCTGTAGCACCAGGTTAAATTCTAGTGGTTAAGTAATGTACTTGTGGTCACAAGTTAGTAAGTAGCAGAGCCACGATTGTCATTCAGATCTCTCTGACACCAAAACATTTGAAAAGGTTTAGCTAATGAATTCCTCGATTCCCAGCTTTTCTGACCAATTAATGTGATTTTAAATAAGTTTAAATCACATTTCACAGCTTGTGAGTGTAGATATTACTACTAGAATTGCCTGACTGGTGCTTTGGGGGTTCATCACTGTCAGCCTAGAGGCTGTTGATGCCTAAGTGAAATGGGATGATTCATGGCCACATGATTGCTTTGACACCCACATCAAGAAATCTGAATGATCTAGACCACAGGTCAGCAGCTATGAGCCAATTCCAGCCCGCTGCCTGTCTTTACATGACCTACAAGTGAAGGGTATTTTTTTACATTTTCAAATAATTGAAGGGAAAAAATCAAAATAATATTTTGTCACATGAAATATAAATTTCAAATTTTAGTATTGATAAAGTTTTATTGAATACTCATTTTTATCCATTATTTATTGTCTGTGGCCACTACTATTGTGTTACATGGCAAAGCCGAGTAGCCTAAATCATCTACTGTCTGGCTCCTTAGAGAAAAAGTTGGCTGACCCTTGATGTAGATACTGTAAAATGTAAGCTAGCTTCTTCAGTTTGTGTCAATAAAAAATCGGACCATTGGCTTTTGCTGTTGAGGTAATAGTTTAGAAACCTAAAATTTCTTAGTGGATCTTGTACTCAGAACTATTCAAAATGAAAAGTGTGCCAGCTGTTTTATATCATGAAGTCTTTGACGCCATAGACAAATTTGGAAGGCTATCTGTACCTTTGGAAATGGAGAAAGAAAGAATCCAGAATCCCAGCTCTGCTCGTTAAAGTACGAGTGATTGGCCTTTAGGGTAAGCTTCATGGAGTCAGTGTTATCATTTGACTTTAAAAGAAAGAACACCTTTCTGTAATCATGTTTGAATTCTTAACTTCAAAAGATATTCTTAGAGAATTTCCTAAGTACTGTTTCTGGTTAGGAATTAGGTATTAAAAGAATCATGGTAAGTAAACTTTAATCCGTTAATACTCTTGTAATTTGGACAATAAAAAATGAGAAACAGTCTTCCCATTCAAGATGTTCAATTCAGATAGTCCTTAGAAGAGTTCAAAATCTTCCTGACCTTTCGGATGCAATAGTATACTATGCTCTGATTTTACTCCATTTCATTCAAATTAAAACTTAGAGACATTAGACAGTGTTTTCTTGATAGATTTTAATTAGCGTCTAGTATTTTGTCATTTAAATGTTATTCAGTTAAACAGAGTTGAGGAATATTGGGGCAGGGAGGAAGTGAATGAAATAAATATTTAAAATTTTTTTAGAATGTACTCCCTTGGTCTAGTCACCTTCCTAGTGTCATTGCCATCCTAGGCTGAAAGGCTGAGAGTAGAGGCTTACAAGTGATCTGAATAAAATGGAAATTGCATTGAGGTAATGAAACAGAACTTTTAGATCAAAATATTTCAACAGCCTTTTAAAAAATTAGTAGTAAATTTTTCATCCTGGAAAAAGTCAAAGATGCAATTTTCACAATTTCTGCGTTTTTATTGATAAATATTAGGCACTCAGTGTTTGATGACTTAATTGAGACATCAAATCCCAACTAACTGGCTGGCTACTTTGGAAGAAAAAAAACCCCAACAACTTTTCTTGGCTCGAGATGCAACTTGTTACTCTCCAGATAGTGCCTTTGATTGAAAACAAGGTCTAGACCTTTTAAAATATTTTATTTCTGGCATAAGAAATTATTTGGTTCCTCAGTTATCCTTTATCTTTTACATAATGCACTATAATCTTCAGCTTTAAATAAGGAAGGTATATGAATCGCATTTTGGTAAACCCCTTTTATGCCAGCTTGATTATTGTAGAAGTAGACTTCTACAGCTAACATTTCACAAATCAGTGATTTACTTTTATCGGAACATTGAGCTTTAGCAAGAAAGTTCTTGATGCTCTATCATTAACAAAACAGTAAGTTTTAAAAATTAATTTTAAGTAATTTAATTCATTCTACTGAAATTAAAATTTCTGGTTAAAAGTTAAGTGGATGCTATTTATAATCCAAGTTTTTACATCACATCCATTGATCTACCTGTTCCCTCTTTTCACTCCAAAGAAGACATGATAGAATAATACATTAGGTATACTATAGAGATGCAGAATTATAATGTATTTCATTTTACTGTTGGAATTTCTTATTGTAACATTGTATGATAACCCGAAATATTTACTTGTGCCTTTGCTTTAAACAATTAAAGTTTTTCATTTTATAAGAATTTTTGTTTCCTTAAACTATTCAACTTAAAGGGGGAGATGCATCAAAACATTAAAAATAGACTAGAGCCCTGGCCTGCATGGCTCAGTGGTTAGAGCAGTGGCCTGTGCACTGGAGAGTCTCGGGTTCAATTTCGGGTTAAGGACACATACCTGGGTTGCAGGTTGGATCCCCGCCCCGGTCAGGGCACATGCGAGAGGCAACCCTCTCCCCCTCCCCTTCCCCCTCTCCCTTTCCCTCTCCAAAGCAATGGAAAAAATATCCTCACTCCTTGGGTGAGAATTAGAGAAAAACTCTATACTAGGCAAGTGCCACTCATACAGAGATGCCTAGTCAAAGGAACCCATCAAATACCATGAATAACCAAGGTAATGAGACAGCTCAGAAAGAAAATGAAAAATCTCCAGAAAATAAAAAGACATGGAAATATGTGATTTAAATGACAGAGAATTCAAGATTGCAGTTCTGAAAAAACGATGCAGAACACTAAAGAAAAAATGCTTGGCCTAACATCAGGTCCTCATTAGTGAGGTGTGTGCTCCGTGGGTACAGGGACTATATCCAGCTGGTCCACCTGTGTAATTAGTACCAGACAGAGAGGCTGGTCTGTGATATTTTCAACTTAACAAAAGGCCAAATACCTAGATTTGCTATCTCCTTCAAGAACATACTAATTTTTTGAAAATAGTAATGGAAATATTTTCCTCTCATTGTATTTTAGGTTATTAAATTAATTAGCAGCTAATTCAATAAATATAGGGTGACCCCAAGAAATGTATACACACTTTAACAGCTGATAACTCACCTAATTTTGAAAATGAACTGTATGTTAATAAACACTTGACTTTATTATCATCCAAAGTACATTTTTTGGGACAACCCGTATATTCAAATATATATCATCTGAATATACATATAGAGGTTATAAGAAGAAATGTATGCCTTCTGCATCTTTATCACAATGTTATTATCACTTAGTTCAGAAGCAGTAGTTCACTATAGATTCTGCTTTATTCCCAGAAGAATTTAATGTACTTTTATAAAGGTACAGGAAATATGACAAGGTAGTTATAATCCAGGGTTTCTCCACCTTGTCACTATTGACATATGGGGCCAAATTATTGCAAGTGACTGTCCTGTACATTGTAGGATGTTTAGCAGCATCCCTGGCCTCTACCCACTAGATGACAGAAGCACGCCCGTTGTGACAACAGTAAATGTCTTCCTCAGGTCCTTGCTAAATGTCCTTGGTAGGGAAGGACTGAGAATGAAAATTGCCCCTGGTTGAGAATCTCTGATACAAATTTAGAAGTGAGTCAAAAAACAGCCACTAGACCAAAACTAAAAATACATATACCTATTAAAGATGGATCACAAATGTGGTGTCAGTCAGAAAAGTAAAACCCGAACCACAATGACATGCTACTTCACACTTACTAGGATGGCAATTCAAAACAAACAGACAAAATAACCAGTGTTGATAAAATTGATCATGGAAAAATTGGAACCTTGTACATTGCTGCTGAGAATGTAAAGTGCAGCCATTGTGGAAAAGTTTTGATAGTGCCTCAAAAATGCTAAACAGAATTACCACATGACCCAGCAGTTCCACTTCTGGGTATATACTCAGAAGAAAGCAGGGACTTAAACAGATATTTGTACACCAATGTTGATAATAGCATTACAGGAGACAAAAGGTGGGAGCAACAAATGACCAACAGGTGAGTGGGTAAATAAAAGGTGGTATACATGTACATAAAATGGAATATTACTCAACTATGAAGAGGAAAGGAATTCTGATACATGCTACAATATGGATGAATCTCAAAAACATACTAAGTGAAATAAACCAGACACAGTATGGTTTCACTGATATGAAGTACCTAGAATAGCAAATTCATAGAAATAAAGAAGATGTTAGCAGGGAATAAAGGTGTGGGGAAAGGGAATGGATACAGAGCTGCTGTTTGGGATGATGAAAAAGTTCTGGAAATGGATGGTGGTGGTGGTTGTACAACACCAAATGTATTTAATGCCACTGAATTGTACACTTAAAAATGGTTAAAATGGTAAAAAAAAAAAATGGGGCATATTAAGATCTTAGCATCAGCTTATAAATTAAATATGTTCAAACAAAGATGTTACAGAAGAAAAAAAAACCTAAAAATTATCAAACTTACCCATTGTATTTGCCCATGAAATAAAAATGGGTTTTTTTTTAGAATTCTGGCACTAGACTGGGACTCAAGCTTTGTATTGATGAAACCTGGACAAGTCACAGAAGAGCTTCATGGCCTTGCCCCTCCTGGAGGGCCTTCGCCACATTCCCACAAGGTTAGCCCC